GGATTTGTGTAAAAAAATCGGTACAGATTGCATCCAAAAGCAAGGGCAATACAAGACTACTCAAATACACATTTATCAGTCAAAATACAACTCAAAATTTGCATAAGACGTCCCCTTTAATGAATGAAATTTCCAGAAGAGTCTTTGTAATTGTTAAAATCAAACGCTATTTTTTATCGAATTTTACGCACAACTTTCCTTATTCCAGACATATGAGAATTTACAGAAACGATTCACAAATTTGAACCTAATTTGGAATTTAACATTTAACAGACCATCTCATTTATTTTGCTTAGAGTTTATAATAAAATTAAATAAAATATGTATGTATGTTACTCAAAAAGATGAGCACGGATACGCTTGAAGGAACACACCAAATGCGTAATGGCACAAACCATGGATTAGTCAAACAGAACGAGATGAGATAGAAGTTTATGGTAAAGTCTATGCGTAAAGACACTATATTTGTATATGGAACCATTGCGTAAAAGTACATGGCACAAAACCTCAGCCAACAACCAGGAAGTGCAATGCCACAAGCTTAACCTGTCAGTGAACCATCGACAAAACTAATGCGGGGGGTTTCATATTTCAGGCTACACGAAATGGAACAGAAGCAGTGGAGTGAAGTTGGGCAATGTGAATAGGAATAGTTGAATGTTAAAACACACAAAATCCCGAAATAATACTTTAAATAATCCACCGCTGCGACCCTGCAAGACCGAAAATGCTTTTGTAGTCGTTTGTTTCAAGAAAACAAGGTGACAAAATGACGTTCTTTCTAAACTACTGAAGGTAACAGGGATTCACAAATATTACTTAGGCATATTTGAAATGTCTAAGATTCAGTTTGGCTACTCAGATTTTAAGATTTGGCACTTATGTTCTAAAATTCAAACCACAAGGCGCAATCACACATGTATGACAAACAATAATTGTAAATAAAAAGTAAGATTTTTTGTCTTTTTTTGTAATTTATTTTCATTATGAGACACTTTTTTGGGATTTTTTTTAGACACAAATTGAAATCTGGATGTAAACTGGCAATTTTTAGCTCAAAACAATACAGATCATTGCTTATATTTGTAGATATTTAGAGATTAGTGTAATAAAAAGCTACACAAAACATATAGAAGTTAGTGTGAGTGTGCCAAATGTGATATCAACATAAAGTACGGTTTGTTTTTTATCATATATATAGTAAAAGTGGTCGTATCTTTCTCAAGCTCTTTTACGCACACAGACGTTCAGTGTTTAGTCGCGTTAATGGAGGATTTTTTCTCCAAAAATAGTAAAATGACTTTGATTTCTGTGCGTATTGGTTATTACAGCTTCTTATCGCAGTATCTGATCTGAATTTTAAGACCCCAAGCCCGTGCGCGCATTACAATCCACCACGTCACTGCCCCATGTGCGTAACGCCGTCATCCCCTCTTCTCCACGCCTGACCAAACTTTTACGCAGAGGTGTCAACGCGCGCAACACACGGACAAAGTTTATCCAGCGCGACCCAAAACGTGTGACTGCACTTCGCAAACTTACAAAAACACTCTCCCAAAAGCTCCGTGCGTAAAAAAAAAAATCAAAGCTTTTGGAGCACCGAGGAGGCCAAACGTGTGCGCCCCTTTTGCTCCTCGTGACCTCGCCAAATGCGCACGGGGGGCAATAAAACCATAAAACCGCCACTGAGCCGTCACGAAGCGAGCCAAATATAGAACCGAGAGGACTGGGGGGACGGAGAGAGATGCCCCCCGAAATGGCATTCCCAGACCCCGCTTACCTCGCCTCGTCTCCGGGCCATGCTCTCCTCCTCCTCCTCTCCTCCTCTCCCAACACCCCGTAAACTAAAAGTGGGATTTTCCTTCTTCTTCCCCAACGTGTTCGGAAAAGTTTATGAGAATAGTTACGCGGTGGGAGAAGAGGGGAGGGAGTGTTTGTGCGCGTATACACACTTTTTTGAGAAGGTTTGAGGAGAGGAGAAAGAAGAAGAGGAGGAGGAGGAGGGGGGATAGAAATGTCTTCCAAGACGTCTTCTATCCTTCCTTGGGTTCTTTCATTCACTTGTACAACAGAAGGGGTGCTGCTGCGTGCGCGCGTGTGTTCCTCTCTGTGTTTTTGTGTGTGTGTACGCGCGCTTCGGACAATGGACCAGTTTAAAAGCGCGTGATTAATGATTGCTACGCGTATAATTCTCGCATTTTTCTTACGAGGAGGTGTCATCCCCGTCTGTCTTGTCCACCAAATAATAATGGTGAACTTTTTTTTTTTTTCTTCTTCTTCTTAGAGGTGGGGGATAGCGTTCAACAATAATATAAAAAAATCTGTTCCTTCATTCACAGAAGCAGAAGGAGTAGCTGATAAAAGGGGGGGGGAGGGAGGCCTAAAGAGTACGGATGCCTGGTTGGATTGCATTGTGCGCGCTGTCAAACCGTGCGCAAATTCATTTATTTCACGTGGGACCGAGGAGCTTTGGGGCTTATTGCAGCGCGCGGCCGTGTGTGGAAGCGGGTGGATGTTGGTAGAGGTTAAGGAGGGGGTGGTTCGGTTCAGAAAACGCGCCTGGTGATGGTTTGGTTTGGGTTTGGGTCGGTTATGCTCCATAGATGACAGCGGCGGTAGACACAGATATTACCCCGGTTAAAGGTGAAGCCGCCGGGCACGCGGAGGAGGGGAGTGGGACGTTACAGCGGCGTTATGCAGGTTCCATACAAATAATTCATGGGCTGCAGTCATGGCAACGGACCCCCATAACTAAATGAATAAAAAATATAACGAGAAATGACAGAAGAAAGGTGCAGCATGTGGATTTGCGTACGTGCTTTCGTCACAAAATACAGAAATACGTAAATAAATACATACATAAACGCGTAAATGAATGCAATAAAATAAAAAATCAATTGTAGAAGTCATTGAAAAATTTAGAACTGATTTAAAAATATTTGTATAATTATTTTACATTTTTAAAACTCTGCTTTGGACATTTCTGGCTTACTAATTTGAAATAAAAAATTAAAAATAGCTTTAAAAATGGCAAATATCCATGAATTTTCAAACTATGACAAATTAGGACTGCTGTCAAAGCGATTGACAATTTAAAATCCTCAAAATGCTCCGTAAAACACTCAGATAAACTCCACGTGTCCATAGATTCTGATATAACCAGGTTAATCGTTGCAAATTGTAAATATAGGACGTACCTTCACGTTTTTAGCACGCATTAACCGGCTCGTTATATGCACACTTAGAAGGTATAACATTGCACCAATCCTAAAAGCAAAGACATCAATTATTCAAGCAACTGTAGCGGGCTCCGTGTGCGCAATACCGAATCGTGGCCATACTTACATTGTCCTGTTCCTACACTGTTTAGTTTGCAATAAGGTGCTATATTAAAAGTCCAAATTGGATAAAAGCATATTGGGTTTATCCTCCGAATGGAAAGCCAATCTAATAAAGCCTGCGCGCAAACGGTGACCAAAACAAAAAAAGCCTGTGCGTAAAGACGTCTATGGCAAAGCTAAGAATAACAATATGCAGCGCGCTTTGCCTTTCCTTATGGCAATTACGATTATTAATATGTTTACGTAATCCTTTCTTTTCTATTGGATAGCACGTGAGGTCTGTTTTTATAGCTTTGCATGCACCATTTGAATCTCTTCCTTTTTATATTGCACTTTGGCACCCACCGTGACAATGAAAAGACGGGGTTGCGGTTTATCATTATAAAATATGGATTATGTTTATTGTTATTACAGCTATAGCGGTGCGAACGCGACACCAGATAAGAAAGTGTGTTTGTAAAAAAGAAAAAAGATGCTGTCAATGTCTCAAGTGCGCAAACGTCACCGGTGTCTGTCTAAATAAAGCGATTAATAACAGCGCAGGAGAATGCAGTACAGAGTGGCGCGGGGAGGGCTTTTGGCGCAAATGCAGCGTCCGTTCCGAGCCCGCAGTGCGTTTTTTTTTTTTTTTTTTTTTTTTTTTGCGCCAGGAGGAGAGGTCCGTAAATAGAAAGAAAACAGATAAATGGTCAGAGCGAGTCTCGGTGGCACGGGGCCCGCGGAGGAATCAACCAACAAGTAATAGGGAATCTTCGACGGGCCGCGGAATACGAGCGCGCCAAATTGGGGGGCACACTTTTTTTGTTTAAAGTTCACGGCGAGGAATGCTATTTTCTCGCGCCCCCTCCTTCTCGTTCTATATTTTTCGATACCTGCTCTAAGAAAAGAAAATGAAAATTAATACGGGAGCCGCGCCTTACAAAAGAAGCCATTCGTCTTGTTGATTATCTATTTGGTTGTCAGGGTTTGAGCTATGGCGCCTGGCCCGCTCCCTTTTTGTAATATATAAAAAAAATAAAAACCGCACTGCGCAGCGCTGCGAAGCATTGAGCGAGAAAAAAACAACACTTGTGTGAAAATTACACTCATTAAAGCATTAAAAGAGCACGAACCGAGAAAGTATTTTTAAAAAGTATGGTAGGTAAAAAGTAAGGGGCGGGCTTTTTTTTTTTTTTTTTTTTTTTCTTTTTACGCAGAGAGCCAGGGCGCGCGCGGATCTGAGCAGCCGTTAAATGAACGGGAGAACGGGAGTGAAACGGAGGGACGGCGTGTGATTTAAAACGAGATTACACCACGTAATGTACCGAGATCCGTCACGGCGCGGGCAGATTAATCATGGCGCGCTCCTGATTTGCGCAGACAGCTCGGTGCGTTTGGAGCAAAACCAACAGAGAATGAAATCAAATGGAGCTTCGGAATCTATCTTCACGCGCGCCACGTCAAAGAATGGTATCTAAAGTCAAAGCAGATGACTAGTTTTTACGCACAAGAAGATGGAGGAGATCGTGCGTAATGGCGAGAGATGTCCCACAGAAAACTACATTTGAAATAAAAAAAAAATACAAAAATACAAAAACAAAAATACACCGAAAGAGAACATTCAGATTTTCCACTCATTTATTTAAATTTCTATGTACAAATAGAACACTGAAGCAGGAAAGAGCGACGAATACATTTGAGGGAAAACATTTTTTTTCATTATTAATATTATCATCAAATAAAACTGATCTTTGGAATGTAAATAAAATAACACTTTACTTAAAATATCTAAAAGAGGAGACTAACAGAAAATAACAGACATGCAATTATAAATGTTTCCATATTATCTGAATGTCCCCAACTTAAATTACATTTGATATTATTTTTTTTTATTTTTTTTAACGTACAAGAAATGCTTTCGTAATGCAGCTCATAGGTTTCTATAAGTCGTCACGCTATTTCAAAAAATAGAATCACTTCATACGAGCAAATAAACGAGGTAATAATCGTGATCGTTGTATAATAGTGCTTACATAAAAACAAATGTGAGTGCTTTTTGTTCTGACCCTGTATGAGAGCGGGAGTGGAAACATGCCTTTTTGGAGACGTGTGTGCGTAACGGAGCGCAGAAATGTGTTCCAACAGCAGCGTGTACAATCAAATATTCCAAAAAAACTAGAAAAAAATGAAAAGCTATGGCGCCATTTGGATCACATATGTTACAACAACAGCATGGCTTTTTGATGTCTTATATTTATTTACGCGTGCGTCCGTGTGTGTGTGTGTGTGTGTGCGTGCGCGCGCGAAAGAGAGAGAGAGAGAGAGAGAGAGAGAAAGAAGAGAGAAAGAAAGAGGTGATTTTGGGGAGGGGTGCAGAAAAACAGAAGGGAGGTGGAGTGGAGCCGCCGTTTCACCCCTTTGCTTCGCAGAGTAAACATGACAAATGGGCCCCGGGTTTGGCGTGATTAAAGATGAAAATGAGAATCCATCTTCAGCCAAAAAATATATATAAAAAAAATAAAAAACACAAAAAGCATGCACGCACGCACACGCACGTACGTACAGGTCTGGAGCCTACCGTTTACTGTCACAAAAGACACGGTAAGGAAAAGCGATTGGAGCTGCCGAAGTGTTCTCGGTTCCTTCCTTGCTTGCTTTTGTTACATTTCTGACTCTGAATTATGAATTATGTGTCTCTCCAAAGTAAAACAGTGTCATTTATAGTGAGTAGCATAGGCAGCAGTGACATCCTTCCGAATCCAAACGCAAAAAGCTGTCCAAACACGTCTCAACCGTAGTTTATTATAGGCTTTGGGGGGAGGCAACACCACACGGAAAGGGTTAATTCACCAGTCAACGGGCTATAGAGGTCCGCTTGCCCGGCTCTGAGACCCGGTAAGCCCCTGCGAGTTCGTACTAGTGCCGTTGGAACCGGAGCGGACCTTGGTGTTGGGCAGCTTGTGGTCCTTCTTCCATTTCATCCTCCGGTTCTGAAACCATATTTTGATCTGGCGCTCCGAGAGACAAAGAGTGTGCGCGATCTCCACTCTGCGCCTGCGCGTCAGGTACCGGTTGTAGTGGAACTCCTTCTCCAGCTCCAAGACCTGCTGGCGCGTGTAGGCCGTCCGCGAGCGCTTGGGTTCTCCTCCCGTGTAGTTTGAGCTCACTACAAAACACAAGGGATCCATTAGTTTATCCAAATTACGCACAGGATGAATGCAAGCGCGCTGCGTAAAGTTATAGACCCAAATCTATTTTATCACATCTTTTTTATGTGGTTATAGGCAATAGCTGTGATATGTGTAGTCTGAGCTCACTGCAAAACGCAAAGGGTGTATTACTTTATCCAAATTACGCACAGGATGAATCCAAGCGCCATGCGTAAAGTTATACACAAAACGTTATAGCTATATAATACAGGGTTAGGCTAGTTAGTTTTGAATTAGTTTATCCTAATTAGGCACAGGGAGGACGAATCTATGAATCTATTGTTATTATTTATGTCTAGTTATATGTTATAGCTGGGATAGGAGTAGTTGGAGCTCACTCCGAAACACAAGGGAGCAGTTAAGCCCCTTTATCCAAATTACGCACAGGGCGAATTCAAATACACTGCGTAAAATGGTGGATTCAATAGTTGTTAATACTATACTACTTGTCTGTGCGTTATAAGGTTATAGGTAATAGGGGTCGTTTGCCATCCATCCATTCGTTTATCCAAATTACGCACAGGAGGAATACAAATACACTGCGTAAAATGGTGTATCCAGTAGTTTTAATACTTGTCTGTGCGTTGTAAGGTTATAGGTAATAGAGGTCGTTTGCCATCCAGCCATTCGTTTATCCAAATTACGCACAGGAAGGATACAAGCATGCTGCGTAAAATTATAAATCCAAACATAGGCTTTGTGTTAGCAGTAGTAACCACGTTGTATATGCATAGATAATAGTTGTAGTAATAGTTTAAACGCACTACAAAACGCAAGGGATCCAGTAATTTATCCAAATTACGCGCAGGACGAAGACAAGCCCGGTGCGTAAAATTATACACCAATACATTTTTATGAGTTGTCGCTACGTCATAGGGTCAAAGGTAATAGTAGGATGTTCACTTCATTCTTTCCCGGAATTTCTCCCTAATATTTGTGATTTATGGAAACGCTACGCTGCCAAATGTCACGCACGAGCCCCGCGGCAACGTCCTGACGCTTGTATCCAAATGTTGTGATCTATTGCAAAGCGCGCCCCCCGTTTTCCTGCCCTGACAACGCTCCGCGATATGACGGGGCACTATGCTGCAAGAAGAGGGGGAAGCGCTCCAGAAGTACGCACGGCCGAAGCAAATTAGAAAGCAATGCATTAAGTACAAATGATAAAAATATATGTGGTTAACCGTATCTTGTAGAATGCACAAGCGATAGAGCGAGCAGGGAGGGAGGGAGGGAGGGGAAGGGGGGGGCTAGTGCTGCTGCTACTTCACTTCACGACGCCATTGCCATTGAAAAACCTAGGTAATGATTCAACAAAAGACAAAAAAACTACAGACAAGCTGCCAAACTGCTCAAGAATAGCTCTTTTCTTACCGTGCGCTCAGCGACCCGGTCAAAGAAGCGCAGCCGCCAAACGAGCACCTATCTCCCCTTTCCCCCGAGCGAGAGGAGCGGTCCGGAGCCACACACTCGCTTTTCTACCGCCTTTTACGAGCTGCGCCATAAACATGAATATTTCAGCTGCCATAAAACTTTCCCTCCCCCGGAATAAAGCCCGACAGACTCAAGTACATCGTTTATGTAAGCCCACCACTTAAAATCAAATTACCAAAGCATAAAAGGTAACTTATGGGCTCGCGCGGAGTTGTCATAAAGCGAGGGATTAGCTAGGAGACGCGCTCCGGATCGGACTTCACACGGCACCTAGGCGAAGAGGTGTAATAAAAATTTATGGAGGGTGTAATTATATTGGCCCTGCAAAACACACGCTCGTAAATCTTGACCCAAGGGCTACACTGCGGCTCAGGCAGGGAGAGGGGAAGACACCGGACACCCAGCACGAGCGTACAAAGCGCGCACGGAGCGAGGGGGAGCGCGGAGAGGAGAGACAAATAAGTGGCACGTACCGATGTTTACGTGGACTTTCTTCATCCACGGGTACACTACGGGGTCCTTGCGGGCGCTCGGGGGGGAAGAAGAGCTTTGACTGTGCGGCGTTTGACCGCAGGACGGAGGCGGAGGAGGGCTGGGTGTCACCGACTCGCAGCGGTGACTCTGCTCCGGGAGTGGAGTGCTGGCGGTGGTCGGAGGGAGGACGTGACCCCGGGGGGACATGAGCACGGAGGCGGGCTGCGCGGCGCGCTGGCACGGCGTGAATGGCGGCTCGGCTCGCTGCGGTGGGTGCGCATGATGGTTCTGGTGGTGCGTTGGGTGGTGGTAGAGAGAGTCCGGCTGGAAGGCAGCGGGCTCCTGCCGCTGGGAGCTGTAATAGTCCGGGGAGTGACTGGGCAGATAGTCGCTCTGAGAGTACTCCTCACACGGTGGAAACTTGGGGTCCACATAGTTGGAGTTGATCAAATAGGAGCTCATGGCCATTAATTTCTCTTTTTGTTGAATAGTCGGCAAATATATAACTAAAATTTATATCTCATCGCTTTACTCTTCGGTTATTCCTGTTCCGTTGAACCCTCCTACTTTTCTGTCAAGTGAACAAAGTTAAGAAGCCACGTGACGTAGTTTGGCCAATGGCTGCGCTTCGGGACGGACCCCGGATAAGGAAATAGGATTATACGCGTGCTCATCATCATATGGCCTCAGTTTGTGACCACTTTGCCCTGTGCCCCCTCCCTCCGCGAAGCCCCCTCCTCGCATTTCTGCACAGTGTATGGCGCAGCGCACAATAACAAGCAATACAACGCGTGAGATTCAATTAGCAGCCCTCTGTGCGACTCATCTAATACCACTGTGCCTCTACAAGTTTGCATTCTGCCCCATAAAACATTGCTTTACACGTTTGGGTACAGTTGTATAATAAACTACAGTGCAGCTCCCTTTCTCCAAACATCTCCCCTTTTACGCACGACTTCAAATAGAGAAATAATGAGAGCGCTTGAGGGGATTCGAAGTGGCGCCGGCACCACCCCTCTGTGTACATTTGGGTGTGTGTCGGGACGTACTTTTCCATAACCTTTACTTTCTTTTTCCTGCTCTAATCACTAATAAAGACTCGCCACCGCGCAGCCCGCAGCCACTGTCAGAGACAAATCTGGCTTGTTTAGGATCGATAGAAAATTCATCAACTAATTCAGGTTACCGGGCTCCTAAATCACGCGCGAACCTTTGCATTCAGAACGAGTCCCTTGTTTGTAAAAGAGGCACACACTGGCTCCCCTACCCGCATGTTAATTCGCGCCTTGGAATGGGTTTTTCCTGCTGTTTAACATCCCTGGCATAGCAAGCTCCCTCTCCCGGCGTCATATGCCACGTCCGGAGAGTCAGGCTGCCTTGCCCTTGAGCTGTGCTGGAATACACGGTTCCATTGTGCGCCATTTCCCCCCCTGTGCCACTCACAAGCTGCCACGAGTAATATCCTTGCGTTATTGGACCGTTCTTAGCTGTTAGAAGGACACAAACGGCGTGCCAAACCATTACGCACACCTATTACCAAAACCACGCTCAAGATACAGGTTGTGAATGCGTAAAAGTGAATTGAAAGCACCCAAAACAATTAAATCCCAATCTTGAAATTCACTGTTATCGCCACGGACACACGCAGCCACGGGGAGAAAAAAAGAAAAAAAAAGAAGATGGAGATATCTTAAGCCTTTGTTTCTGGAAAATTGACCGTCTCCAAATCGAAACCTGACCCCCCCTTCACGCGCGTTACTCCCACACCCCCCCGCCCTGTACGCCTTTCCCTCCGAGATGAACAGTAGAGACGAGCGCATCATTTTTCACCCGGAGACAAATAATAAATAAAAACGAGGCCAATTCGAATCGCTGCTGCCCTTTACAACTCCGGGGCGCTTGGAGGATCGAAACAAATACGAGGAAGCAATAAAAGAAAACCTCTGAACAGTCAGGGTGAATTGTAAAATGACTAAAATATTAAAACAGCACCAAACTTATAAACCGAAGTTGTGTTATTATTTTTTCCCAAACGAAAATACAACCCTGTGTAGCAACATGGTGTAAAACGACCGAAACAAAACAGAAATATGAATTCGTGGAGCTCGGGCCTACACGCTAAGAAGTCGTTCCATCGCTGCCGTCGTGTATAAATCCACTATATACTCCCCTAGAAGCGAATTTGTGATTGTTAAAAGGACTCCCACACAAATCCGGATCTACAGGGTAGATATAGAAGACAGCGGATCTCAGGAGGCGCACGCCAGCCACCTTATTGCTTCATAAAAACCTGTGCGTAAAAGGCGCCGAGCAATATCCCCCATCCATCTGTACCGGCTCTCAACCCCTGACCTGCGCGCTGCTGGGGGCTACAGTCTCCTATTTCCCCCTCACAATATTGTACAAAGACGAAAAAGACATAAAAACGCCACTGGACATATGCTTTTGTGTATTAAAAAGCGATAAAATTACGCACGGCCTTAAGTGCAACAAAGGCCAATTGTCCGCGTATGTTACTTCAAAAATACGCACGTGCAGAGTGTAAATACTACTACACAGGATTATTTATAGCTTCACTACAGTTAAAAGTCATATTATAGTAAGAAGAAACGCAGTAGTAGTTGTTAGTAGACACCTGTACCGTTAAACACACACCTTTTCGACAATATTAATACAATTCATTACGCAGAAACGCGAACAAAGCAACATGGCACGTTGGATATCACTTATAATAGCTAGACATATTTTTCAATTTCAGTCATGGCAACACATCCCCATTATTTATTTCAGGTTGAGTGCTTTCATAATATTTGTAAAGTAAATGTTCCCGAAAAGACGAAAAAAAAAAAAAAAAAAATCTGAACGCAGCCAAAAATGTAATTAGAAATAAAGTTGCAATTACGGCAAAAAGATAAGAAGGAGAAGGAGAAGGAGGAGAGGATTTGGCAGTCGGAGTGGCGCGCGCTCTAGCGGAATGATCGCAGTTTAATGAAAGAAAAGAGTGATTGCCTGGCACCGGGTAAGCCACTGTTCCTCTCATCCTATCAGGCCGCGCTCTGGCTCATGGCACTGAAGAATAGATGGAGCAATGAATAAATGAATGAAAAAGCTTTCACTTAGAACAGGACGTCTGCGCGAGTCTCGGATAACTGGATTAAAAAAGTGCAGCGAGTTTGACGCACCAGGGCCTCCGATCCATCTCCGGATCAGCGCCACGGTCTGCCTTTCGGTCAACTTCGGACAAAAAACACCAACTTTACGGTCAACAAAGAGAAAACATTTTAAAAGTTTACGAAAATTCAAGGTTGATACATAATATTGTCAGTGTAAAACCATAAAACATTTAATTTGACTAGAGAATCTCCACAACTTGGCATTGCGTAATAACAAAAAGAAAAAAAGAAAAAAAAGAGACACATTCAGATTCCAAGGACGCACAAATCTCTCATTGCGTGTGGCCATCAAAAACACCACAGCCCTGATCCATATCTCCATTTGACACTTGTCACGATATCAAATTTAAAAAAAGATATGCAACTCTGTCAAATAAACATGATGGTTGAGAATGAACCGTGAAACCAACTGAAACACGGATACGGAATCAAAGACGAAAAAAAAATAAAAAAATAAAAAATCAGCAAAACTTGACTAAACGAAAATGTTGGACTTTTGAGTTTTGGCATTCGTTTACACTCCCAGTCACTGAAGAAAACACCAAAAATGAAACGTTTCCTACAATAAACTCTCAAATGCCTTCTTGTTTTTTAAATGTTTCCATGTAAATATTGCCAATTTAACGTCACAAACATCCAGACATCCAGACATACATACATGCACAGATAACGCTCATGTAACACAATTGCGTAATCAATAAGACATAGACACAACACAGAGAAATTCCGGGAACTTGCATGGCGAGTTGCTATCAAAAACACGACACGGTTGGTTTAAAATGGCTCCAATCACCGAGCTGTTGATATCAAAAACAGAACTGAAGCCCTGTGTTGTTTTTGACATCAACAACTCGGTAATTGGAACCATTTTGCACTTCGTGATCTCAAAAATTAGCCTCATAAAACACAAAAAAGTCATTCAGCGAAATCAAAACGTGCTGCGTAATAAATAACGAACCGTGAACCTAACCAAATATGAAAATAGAATTAAAATCGAGTCACATTTGAGTTTGGAAACGCAACGGAATGTGCACAAAACGAATCCTTCCATCATTAATCATTATATTTAGGCCTATTACGCAATAACTTCTTAAATTTTAGACTGATTCGTAACTCTAAACACGATTATTTGCGTAAATGTTGTCAATGCTCCCAAAATGTTGCGCAATCAAGGTGAGACTTGTGCGTAATTGGCACAATCGTCCCCAAAAAACGCCATCGCCATTTCAAAATCTTATCTCTCTTCTTAGCTCTCTTTATTAAATTAAAAACATTAAAACTACATGATCTCGTACATAATCCAAACACTGCAATCGTCATGTTTAAGGGTCACAATCAGCTCCTTCAGTGTATCCAAAACATGTCCAAACCCAAAGAAAGTGAGTCCAATCTGAGAAGAAAACTCGTGTGAGGAGCAGCCTGAAGAGTCGATGTGTCTTAATCTGTGGAATAGCCACGATGAAACTTTAAAAGGCTCAAAAACTATTTCCACATTTAAAAAAAAAAAATAAAATAATAATAATAAAAATAAGACCAGAGTTATAGAGAAATATCGAAAAATAAACACAATAACTCATATTTTACGTCATGGAACTCACAGAATCACTGTAACCCTCGATTATATTTATTTTATTTAAGTGTATTTATAAACCAGTAGGCATAAATATTAACATGTGCATGGTCTGTGTGTGTGTGTGTGTGTGTGTGTGTGTGTGTGTGTGTGTGGGTGTGTGGGTGTGTGGGTGTGTGTTTGTCTGTGAACATCGATGTGTATTGGATTGTGTGTCTGTATTGTGTATATGTTTATACCAAAAGATTTAGGGACGTTTTCTTTCCTGAGCTCATAAAAAAAAATTGTTTTGTGTTGTTTTTTTCTGTAAATAGTTCTGTTATCTTGTCTCCTGTTTTATGGGGTTATGTGTTAATAGGGTTTTGGCAAAATAATTGTTAAATTTCAGCCTAAACCTCTTCAAAGTGTAGAATAACCTTAGTGATATGCATAACGAAACTGCTTCATTTTTGCGTTAAATCGTTGTAATATGATGCCTGATTGTGTTCATGTTAACTAACTAACCAACTATCTAAGGTAATAATTGCTTGAAACGCTCCTCGTGCCATACGTGAGCACCTAAATGTGTATAAATGCAGGGAGTGACAGCTGATGGAGCCATAACCGCCATGTTGGAGCTGTGCGCCGGAGCCCAGGCCCTGCCCTCAGTCCTCGCTCCTCGCTCCCACACCCGGAGCAGCACTACTTCTTCGGCGGTGTCCTCCCCTCCCGCTCCCGCCGCTCTCCTCCTTTGTTTCCCTCGCATTGATTTTGTGACACTGACACTCTCTCCGGCGGCTCCCGTTTCCTCCCAGAGCCGGCTCATACATCACCGG